GAGTCCCCACCCTCACCATGACCTGTGCCAGACATCCACTATGGGAAACAAACCTTAGTCATGTTAAGCCACTGAGAGTTCAAGGTTTATTTGTTATCTCACCATAGATGAATCTATTCTGACCAACACTGAAACCGGTGCCAGGAATGCGATGTCACTACTATAAAAACACAAGATCATGGCTTAGCAGTTAAGCAGCAGGGAAAACTAACATCGAAGGCTGGAAAGGTGATCTAGGTTATACAGTAGCAAAACATTTCATGAATCTGTCACCTGCACAGCACTTGTGTAATGAACCTGACACTCTAGAACAGGGTTGGTAATTAAGGCCTGTCTGCTTCTGTAAAGAAAGTTTTATTGGAACACAGTCACACTCATCATTCAATTACATACCGTCCACAACTGCTTTTGTGTTACAATGGCAGAGTCTAGTAGCTGTGACAAAGACTGTTGTCTGCAAAGCCTAAAATATTTACTATATGGCTTTTACAGAAAGAGTTTGCTAACCCCTACTCCAGAGAAAGGGACTGGAAAGCAAATCTTAAGTAGGTTATGTTGGTGGCTATTAGCTGCATTTGAAAGAACTGACAACCTTTAAAAGTATAAATAAATGGAAACAGAGTCTAGAATTCCAGGGCCTTTCCATTTTAGAAAAGCTAAATGCTACTAGAACTCTCCAAAAAGGTATGGCAGAGTGTCCAGCAAATATCCCTGCCCACCCCAGAAGGTGTCCTCACCCTGTGGATCAGCTCAGTCCTGTGACTTACTTCAGCTAATGGATGTGGGGGAATATGCTTGATTTAGCATGCCTTCCACTCATCTACCTTTACCGTGAGAAAAGGATGTGTCCGGGAAGCACTCTTTCATCCTGGATGCTGAAACCTGAACATGGAACAAGCCTGAACCTGACCCATGATCTGGAGCAGCGCCACACAGCCAGCCCTGCGGAGCCATGAGCAAACAACAAATGTTTTAAGCCACTGATACCCTGAGTTGGTTTTTATGCATCTTTTTCACATAACAATTCTGAAAGTGTTTAAGGAAAAAATAGCTGTAGAATCAATTGATGAAATTGCCTCAGTTTGCCAACAGAAGCCAGAAAGCTTAAAGATAGACTCAAGACAGCCTCAGTTAAGTCAAGAATACAGGACCTGTGAGTTAACAAAAATGTTTGAAAAGAACTATAATCAAAATGAGAAGAAACCATTTAAGTTTCTGAGAGAGCTAGATAACTCTCAGAGCTAACTCCATAGGTCTATGACCATTCTATACTTAAAAACAGCGGTTTTCAATTCACAGCACTTTTGCCCCCAGGGAATGTTTGGCAATGTCAAGGAGGTATTTTCGGTTATGGCAACTGAGGAGTGCTACCGGCATCCAGTGGGCAGAGGCCAGGAATGCCGCTTAACACCCTACAATGAACAGGACAGCCCCTGAAAAGAATTATTTGGTCCAAAATGTCAATAGTGGCCTGGTTGAGAACGACTACTTTAGAAAGACCCTTGGGCCCCAATCTTTTACAGGTGGTAAGCAGGCTGAGAACGGTGAAGAGCCCTCAAGGAGAAGACATTTCTTCAATAGCCACTTCAGATATATTCGAGGAGGATAACAGAACACGAAGATTTTCCTACAGGGTGGAGCCAGCTACCACAGAGAACAGAGGACAGGGATTACGGAGATCAGCGTCAGGGCCTAATCAAGGGATATTCCCCACCTACTGCCAGAGCAAGGGACACACACAATATCTGCCCAATAAAATTGCAATCACAGCTAACCAACGACTGTATTTTTCAGTTTTCCAAATGGAAACTGTTTATTGTGGTAACACTGGCCCTTTTGACCACTCTAAGGTATTTGAGGGGGAAGTAACGGGGGTGGCCAGATAATTTGGTCATTCCCGTTCCTAGTTCCTGGACCAAAAGGAGCAATGTCTGAATTTGACATGGACATTACTGTCCACATTACTTGGAGCTAAATGCCTTGATGGAATAGGACTTCGGGCTGTCTCCTTTAGGGAGGTATGGAATAAAGGGAGCAAAGTAATGTTGACAGCCAGAGGGCAGACTGTGGCACAGACTGGTGCTCACCACCATTCTAAAGTCTGCTCTCCTGACATGTCCCAGTTCCTTTACAATTACACAAGTCCTATGGCTGGCTAGCTCTGCCAATGGGCTCCAAGCAGAAGTGATGTGTGTCCCTCCTAGGCCCAAGCACAGAAGAGCCAGCCATCAAGCTTTCTCTTCCGCTGACAAAGTGACCAGCAACTATCCAGATGATGGAGACTCATTTAGCTTTGGTCTCTGAGTGACTATGTGGAATCCCACTCCCACCCCGACTTGTAATGAGCCCCCCTAAGGAATGAAAAGTCAGGTTATTTTACCAAGTAAGGAATCTCAGACCAGCAGAGGTACTAGCCAAGGGTGAGGTAAATCTAGAATGAGTAGTAGAGCAGAGAGAAGACCATCAACTGTGGCCTCAAGACCAGCAGCAAAAATGAAGGCTGTAGTTTACCTCATTAAACTTCTCAGAAGCTGCTCTAGGAAAAGGGAACACAAATCTGGGAGAAGCAGTTTCTAGAACTACTGTACAAAGAAAGTAGGAACAAGTGGCACAGCAGATCCCTGGTTCAGGCCTGAGGCACTCATTCTTCCAGCGGCTGGGAATGGCGGCTGCTGACAGGCTTCAGCCAATCTCCCCAGGAACAGCCCTCAGCCACAGAGCACCACCTTTTCCAAGGTCATGCTGCTCCTCAGCATAAAGGGCTGGTTGAGTCACCAGCTGAGGCCTCTGGAGTGATTACATCCAATTCGATTTCTCCCTCTGTCCATTTTTACTTCCTTTATTCCCTCACAGATGTTGATCCTGAAAGTACCCTCCAGTAAACTTCCTACATGCATATCTCCACCCTAGAGTTGTCTCTCACATGGCCCAGCCCAAGGTAAAGAAAGGTATATTCTTCATAATAGGTATCAGAACCTACTATGCC